CGGACCGAGTAACGATGTACTGAAGTCGATGTTTCGGGACGCAAGGTCCTCTGATTCTTCCAACTTCCCAAGATTGCGCAAGATTTTGACGATGACGTTGTTCGCATATGACGCATCCGGGTCATTCGTGGCCTCCAGTTGCTGGGCGGGCGCCTGGCCAATTTCCAAAGCCTGACTGTGTCGCCCTCTCTCGTCAATAATAGCAGACTCAAGAACAGACACAAACCAATAACTGGCACCGGTCGACCGGTATTCAGCCAAGACAGCCTCTGCCTGATCCCATAGCTGTTGTTCGACATGGAGATACAGCCTGTCGATCAAAGCACGTCCCACTTGAGAATGACCAGGGCCAAGAATCCTTCTCCGCACATCTATGGCGGCCTTGATACAAGACTCCGCTTGGTTCCATTGCCCCTGGCCAGTGTAGGCTCCACCGACGATCCGCATACAAATTGCCGTCTTTGGGTGCTCCAGCCCATACCGCTTTTGGCATGCCGCAATGCACTTAAGACCGATCTTCAGAGCTTCATCATATCTCGCTTGCCTGATCCAGATATCAGCCAGAACGGTAGGCGCGTAGCAGCAGGATAAGTCGCTCTTCGTGTTCAACTGGTTGCACAGTTCCATCGCCTTGACCGCCCATTCCTCCGCCTGCCTCAACTTCCCTAGCTGTACGGCTGAGATCGTGAGGGCAGCCATGATGTTTGGCTGGACGTGGCAATTGTCGATACCGAGAACAGGATCAACCTGTCCTAACAGGCCAACCAGAATTTCTTCACCCCTTTCAGGTTGACGATCTTCCAGGAAGATGTACCCGAGCAATTCTTGGGCCCTAAAAGCGAGTCGCTCATTGCGACTGCTTCCTGTCCGAGCCATATCATAAGCCTTGGTTGCCGTCATTGCAGCCTTCTTCAGGTTCCCTTGGCACCGAAAGACGTCAGCAAGGGCTCCGAGTGCCCAAGCCTCCTTTTTCGCTTCCCCACGATCCCTATGCGCGAGAAACCTTCTCCTTCCAAACCTCTCAGCTGACTTGTATCTGCCTTGGTCCTTCAAAACAAGGACAAGTTCGGCCATCAATCGCAGTGCCTCTGGGTTGTTTTTTCCGTGGAGCCGTTCCAGCGCATACAATTCTCTCTCCAAGGCATAGGACTTTTGTTCCAGGTAGACGAAGCCGGTGTCAGGTGGCCCATCAGCAGTGAGGCCAGACCCCTCAATCGCACAGATGGCTTCGTGAGCGGCATCATTCCACGGAGCTGGACTGGCTCCTTCGAAGCCGGTATCCGCCACAAGCCCTGGTGTGCTAGCAGCTGGCGATGCTGCAGAACCGGCGCCTTGAAAGTTGGCGGCTTCCAGTCTTGGGGTGGAAATGAATGGCGATGGCGTGGGGAAAGGTGATGAAGGGAAGTTTCTTCCGTCAAGCTGAGCTACCGATATGAATCCAGCCGGTGCGGGGGCGAACGGTGATGTGGGAAAGTGAATTGGCGACCGGATGGGAACAGAGAAGCCAGTGACCGTCGGGTGAGGTGAGGCAGGGGGGCTTGCTGTGGGCCCAGAACCTTCGGGGGTCTTGTAAGACACGTCCCTTGGTGTTTCTGTCGGATCGGATCTTAGTTTAGTCCAACTTCACGCCGCGTACTTGACATATGAAGACTTACCAGGGACTGAGCATGGGGAGAAAACAACCTGGTTGGCGTCCATCCTCCTCTCCCATCGCTCGTACTTCTCGACGGGTTGAACCGTCCCTCGGACCCTGAAGACATAATCCGGCTTTTCAGGCTCATGCGTTCGTCTATGCTTCAACTTCCGAGACATGAAAAGGTACTCTGCCTTTTTGACGTTTTTATCTAGCTTCCACTTTTGAATACGAGACAGAATTTGCCTTTCACTGGTTCCTTTAGCTTCACAGTCGCAAATCTGAGCATGGTACGACATAGCAGCTACTTACGTGGCTTGGAACTGGAACTCCCTGACAAGAGCATCTCTCAGGAGGCGGATGGTGAGGTTGTCGTCCATGTAGAGCTGGGTAATGCGAGCCTTCATGGGCTCCCAGTCCGAGTCTCGCAGCGTCGGGGCCTTTCTTTTGCGATTTAGAGCGGCGGTGACTGGAGGGTGCTGCGCGAAGGATGGTGCTGTGTTGTTCTGCAACGAGCCGACGACGGGGTTCTGGTGGCTTGGCGCCAGAGCCGCGAGCGCTGGAAGTTGTCCCGCCTGGGGTGCGAAATTGACCGCGTCCAAAGACGGCCATGGTCCCCAACCAGTGCCTAAGAACATGTCGGAATCCATAATGAGGATAAAGGAGCAAGGTCCGTCCAGCAAGGGGAGAAAAGGGGAATGGCAACAGTCCAGTTCAAAAAGACGTCGAGGTTGGAGAGAGAAGAATTTATCGACGAAATAGGGTGACGAAATGGGGTACGCACAAATTTCTCGTCTGCTGCAGCCTGCGGGACCTGTTGGGCAAGTGCAGTTGCAGGCTGCGCGGGTTGCCCACCTGGCGTAAACCGTATGGCCCATGCAGTCAGGTCAGGTCCCTCGAGATGCGAGTACTTCAGGATACCCAAAACTGCACCAGCTGAATGGTCTGGAATAAAGTACTCCAAGGTCGTGCTGCCATCAGAATGGCTTGGCACCTTTTTTATTGCGATCTATTGGCTGGTCAAAACTACAATTTGCAAGCCCACCGCCAACTCAACCCCACTACGAGTGACAGCTTCAGGGCGGACGGGACCCGGGCCAGGCCCGGCAGACTGGGGGAGGCCCAGAGCGCTGGCTGCTCGCTCTGCGAATCGCACATTCTGGCGGGGTTGGCGACCTCAGCCGAAGCTCTGGATGTCACCCTCCTCCTCTTCGGACCACGGGAGTACCTCCCTCGCTGCTTCGAGGTCGCCGGCGTCTGACAGGCCAAGGCTACCTACTGTGCAGGTACGGCGCTGGCGTTTGGCATGCGTGAGGCTTGGGGTACACACCAGACAGACCCTGACTGCCCTTCGGGTGGCTGCCCTCTGCCCAGACCCTATGCAAAGAGCCAGAACCCATGAGGACTGCGAGGATCCCTCCGTGACATTCAAGCCCTGACTGACTTGCACATCCCTCGTTCTGTTTCCCAAAGCCTCCACACTTTTGACGCGCACCCCCCCCCCTCCCCCCCCCGCCTTCAACCTACACACCTCCCCCCCCAGAAGCAAGGGAGACGACGGGTGCGATACTGCGTCCCTTGAACTCACAAAACTACAATCTGGGTGCCGGTCTACACACCATTGGACAATGGTGCGACACACTCCCCAGTCCCACAACTCCTTAGCGCCAACACCCTATTGTGGCCCTGGTCACTTTCTCGTAGCCCAGACTTGTCAAGTCTGGGGGAGCGATTTGGCTTGCCATGTCGCTCCGCAAATCTACAATCTTCAAAACTACTATCTGCCTTGTCCACAGCAATGGCAAGAAAGCAGCGCGCTCCTATCGCGGGCACTTTGAACCTCCCTTGCGGACCATGGGCGAACCATTGCTCCCGAACGGTCCAGGTATAAAGACGGGCGAGAGGCCTGTCGCCGGAGACAGCTCAACACCACCACATCATTTTCAACATCGCCGTGTCCTCCGGCCCGAAGCCCACCGTCTCCGTTGGCCCACTAATCAACATGGGAACCTCCCCTACGCCCAACCCGGAAGGCACCAACCAGACCACCGGGCCTTCCGATGCATGGTTCGTTTCCAGATCTCCCCCGAGCCCCCTTCACCCGGACCCGGACCAACTCTCCATCGCTGTCAGGTCAACCGTCGCCAACTACGACAGGAGTCATCAAGGTGACGCCCGCCACCCGTCAGTCGGCGCTGGAAATGCCGGAAGCATGTATGTGTCTCCTCATTCTCTCAACACCAAGTCCAGTTTTCACCTTCTGTTTTCCCTAATACATGTTCCTTCCCAGGCCTTTGGGGTCTGGTCCAAACACACTTCAGCTAGGTGCTGTTCCGGCCGGTTCGATGCTTCTCTTGTGGTCCTATGAGACGCGGAATCAGGAGCTATCTCTGGCTGAGAGGCTGCTTAAGAAATAATACCAAGGCTAGTGGTGTTATATACATAGGTACATTGACCGACAAGGTCCGCCTCCATCGGAGTCCTTCCATAAGAAGGACATCCTCAGAGGCAGAGACAAGCTTCCCCTCTCTCCTCATCAACCTTCATACCTTACTACTTGCACCATTGCTGCACGTGGTGAGAGAAGTGATCACCCTGTTTCTCACTCTCTGTGACTCCTTTTGACACCTCCTTAATTCCGCATCCTCCGGAGTCCTCCAGACTCCTCCACGCTCCCATCCTCCTCAGAGTCCCTCGGAGCCCCTTTGACTCTGACTGCCTCAGAGTCCCTCATCAGAGGCCGAGACCCCTTGCCCTCCGGACGAGCCATATGACAAGTGGCCATGAGTTACAGTCTCGTAAGGACATTAAGTGGTTTGGATGGCCAGACAATCGCTCGTCTCTTAACTGAATATCATTATAAGGTACCTGCCTACCTATGAAATGCTTAAGGTAGAGGCCCTTAGAGTAGTACTTGGGTCTCCCATCTCCTATCTTTAAGACCAGATTTACTAGCAAAAAGTAGTCCACTACGTTGTGACCCAGATATCACCGTTTCCATAGGCCTTATATGCCCCGCCATAAGAGCACGGGGGTAATAAAAGGTGCAGTATGGGATTGCTATAGTAGCTTAGCTTAGCGAGTAAGAGATGCCCTTGCGCGTCTACCCGCTTACCTGCATCCAGTCGTCACCAACCCAGCTATCAACATAGATGATAAAATTATGTACTTTACAAAAGGTAGTCCCCAGCGCCATTAAGTAATTGTAGGCTGCGTAGAGTGTATCGGCCGCCTATATTTTCGATTTGTATCTATTGCCAGCCCAATTGCAATCATTGCGATCGGAGAACTATTCGAAGGTACAGATGGCTCGACGATCAGGGGTATTTCATTTGAATCGCTGGTATTGTATATCTACTTCTATCTATCCCCCGTGGTGCAACTGGCTAGCGCATCAGACTGTTAATCTAGAGGTTCTTAGTTTAATCCTAAGCGGGGAGAGATTGGTCTTTTTTTATTCTTTTGTTGACTTTTCAGGGGGGTGCTGTTACGGCCAGTTGCAAACTTGAATGTTTCTCCTAATAGGCTAGATTCTTGCCGTCTACCTCGTTGTATCATTAGGGCACTATATGTATTGTACCCGGAGATACATTTACCTAGCGATTAAACCTCGGATCCAGCCTGTATCGCTTCTGAGACTCGACGTCTCCAACGGGCGGAAAGCTGTGGGCCTCTAACAAAGGCGGCAGCCGTACTGCTCTGTCGTTGTCCTTCACCAACATGCCATCCCCAGTCTCCATCATGTTCATACGGACCGGAACAGACCTGTACCCAGCTCCCACCAAGCTCGGATCCCGCCAGTTCGGGAACCCAAAGTGTGGATCCGTATTCGTGCTCCAAGCCTCCCCTGATGGCTCCAGCGCGGCCTCGACCACCCCGCCCGCGATGCCAATGTAAAAGTTGGGCGAGACATCGGACCCCTTGGCCAGCGCCCAGACGCCGCTGTGTCGCCTCTGCGAATCAGGCATGTCATACTTGGACAGGAAGAAGCTCGCGTTGGGCCGGTAGTAAATGTCCCTCGACAAGCCATGCCAGAGGCAGTACGTCCCTCGTACGTGGTCGCAGCGCTTGCCACACGTCTCAACGGGTTGCTTTCTGTCGCCAACTGTTGTTGGACGCTTGAGAAAGGGCTGCGGCGGGCTAGGCGAGGGCTCTGCGCCAGAGCAGGGCAGTGCCATGGTATGCTGGTAGCCCTTGGACCAGCGAAAGTCAAAGATCTTGACGGCGGGACTGTCCATGCCACCTCCGATGAAGCGTTCGGTGCCGTAGGTCATGAGCGCCTCCATGTCTGACCAGGGGTCGATGTTGTCTTCGTAGACCATGTCCACGGCAGAGGGGGTGCGTAGGTCTTGGAGTCTGGTATAGACTGTCAGTCAACCCGCCAGCGCATCCTTTCCCCCGGGGATAACTCACCGAATGCTCCCATCCCTCCACGCGCTGAGCAGCAAGCTCGTCCCACCCCTACTTGACGCAAGCGGCTGCACCGGCGTCAGTGAGCTGGGGCAGATATTCCCATATTCAATCCCAAACTTCTCCTCCAGCCGTGCACTCTTGACCGCTGTGTGATGCGCCCAACCCGTCGGCGTCATCTCGAGATACCGCAGCGGATCATCCACGCCCTTCAACGCCAGCGCCATCATCCCGTCCCCCATCCACGTCGCCCGACACACCTGCGGGCGCTGCAACCCCCTCCGACTCGCCCTAAACACCTTTTCCCCGAGATCATACACCAAGCTCGGCCGCACCTCGACCTCCTCCCCACCCCCAAGATCCGCTTCCAAGGGCAAATCCCACACCACCACCTCCGCCTTGCCCACCACCGCCACCCTCCCCCCCTTCACATCCAACGACCCCACCGTCTCCAGCCCCCCCTCCCCCTCCCTCTCCCCATGCACAAACCTTACTCCCACCCTCTCCCCAAACCTCCCCCCCACCCCCCAAACCATCTCAACCTCCCCACTATCCCTCCCCGTCAACACCACCTCCCTCTCTTCCCCCCACCAGACCACGGCACCACCGCCACACCCATCAAATCCCCATACCCACTGCTAAACCCCCCATCCACCCCCCTCCTCCTAACCCAGCCTCCGCCCCCGGCGCCCCTCGTCCTCACCCTCCCCACCAAATCCTCCCCCGCCCCCCAAACCACCACCTCCCTCCCCGTCCCCTCCTCCAGTCTCACTGCCACAACCGGCTGAAAGAGCCCCTGCCTCGTCCTCCTCCCCTCCTCCTCGCGAGGAAACAGCCCCTGGAACTGCAGCGCGCGCTTGTCCCACGCGCGCGACTGCCACGTCAGCGAGGAGGCGAGCTCTGCGTGCGGGACGTCGTCGGCGGGGACGCGGAGGGAGGGGAAGCGAGCGCGGACAAAGAGACGCCAGCCGTGGTGGCGGATGAGGTGGGCGAGGGGGCGGCAGGAGAGGGCGAGGGAGCGGAGGTCCGAGGCGGTGGGGAGGAGGAGGAGGAGGAGGAGGAGGATGTCGTGGGGTAGGGTGGGGAGGGAGGCTTGGGGGTGGGGGATGGTGGATTTGGTTGGGGTGGTGGCGGCGGTGGTGGGAGTTGTGGTGGTGGTGGTTCGGATGGAGAGGGTGATGGTTGGTGGGGGTGGGGGTGGGGGTGTTGGTGGCTTCATGGTTGGTTGTTGGTTTTTGTCGGTGTTGTTCTTGTAAATGGTTGTCCAATTTTTGGGAGACACCAGACCGTCCGAGGATGGGGGATATGTCCTTTTCAGGGCAAAGTTCGGAGTCGAAAAGTATGTCGAGGGAGTTGAGATTTCGCACTGGCGGAATTGACAGCGTTGCCTCCGAGACCTATGACTGCCCCAATATTGTCAAGGAATGGGAATCAAAGGATCAAAAGACTCATCAGCCAAGTCATAGCCTGCCGCTGCGCACTTTGGTGAGTCAATAAAAAAACCCTGCAGTCAGCGCGGGTGGATTGTGCGAGGCTCTGGTGATGATGCGGTTACAGAATGACTCCGACCTGAAGCGAACGTTGCGCCTGAAACAATGGTCCGCAGGGCCACTTTTCAGCGCTCCTGGCGGGTCGGGTCCGCCGAAATACGGCCCCCGGATGGACAACTGCGGTATCCACTTCAGTCCGACAGGCGGGTCCGAATCCGAGAAGAGGGGGGGGCGCAAGACAGGATTTCCGGCTTTCGAGGCACGACTCATTTTATAATTTTAAATGTTTAATTTTGATGATGTATTCGATGTACCTGATGTTGCTCCTCCTTCTCCGAGTCCCTCAGGGGCTGATAGCCAGTGCCCTTACAATACATGTTCCTTGCCAATTACTCTAGGCCTGAATATGAAAAGTCACCACCCTCATTCCCAATAAAGACTCCATAAAGAATGAAATATGGCCTAACTACCTAAAGAACCCAAAATAACGCCTTCCCTCCCAGGTATACCTATCCCTCCCTTCTATACTCCAGAACAACAAACCAAGCCCCCACTCCTACTTCCCCCCCTCCTCCTCAATCACTCCCCAATCAACCTCGCCTTCCCCTCCCCCTCCCTCCCCCTCCCAAAAATCATCTCCATCAGCTTCCCCTTCTGCCGCTGCCTCACCCCCTCCAAATACCCCCCGGCATCCTCCAGCCCCCGAATCTGCTCCTCCACCGTGATCGTGCTCCCATTCACCGACCTCACCAGCGGACTGACCAGCTTCCTCCTCAGGTTCTCTAGGTTCGCCTTGAGCGCCAGCAGCTTGTGATTGTGCTCTACTAATATCCCCTTGTTCCGCACCGTCTTCTCCCGCACGTCCACCAACAACAGCCGGTTCCGCTCGTACTTGGCCACGTCGGCCGCGCGTGCGCCCAGGATGCGCGTCCACAGGCCCGAGAGCAGGTCCACGTGGCGCTCCTCCTGCAGCGACGCCTCGCGCACCACTGTGCGCGCGAGGTTGAGGAACTGCTGGTCGATGGCCTCGAAGAGGGCAAAGAGGGCGAGCGAGTGCTGGAGCTCCGAGGCGATGGCGTCCTCGAGCACGGCGAGGAACTCGTGAAAGGTGCGGCGGAGCGTCGTCTTGGTGCGCTGCGGCGTCGACGGGCCGAACACCGACGTGGCGAGGTCGCCGAGCGGCGTGGGGTCGCCGGTGACGCGGTCCTCGAGGATGCCGGCGCGGGAGAAGAGGTTGTGCAGGTTGTCAAAGATGGTGGCGAGCGGGGGCGAGGGCAGGGACTGGAGCTGCGAGAGCTCGCGGCGCGCCCAGTCCATGACGATGAGGATGCCGTCAATGTCGCCGTCGACGTTGGCGAAGAACTTGGTCAGCTCGATGGCGAGCGTCTTGAGGCTGTCGCTGAGGGCGTCGAGCTCCTTGACGATGATGGGGCCCGATGTCATGTTGCTGCTGCGCACGCTCTCGCTGAGGTCCCAGACGGCGGTGCCGGTGGCCTGGAGGTCGCCGACTTGGGTGACAGCGTTTTCCGAGTAGTAGATGAGGGGTTCAAAGGCGCGCGCCACGCCGGCGACCTTGACGAGATCGGGGACGGGTCGCATCGCCGCGGGGTCAAAGAGGGCCCGCAGCACCGCCCACGAGAGAATCAGCACCAGGGTTGACATCGCCACTGATGTCCAGGATCCCGTTGTGAACCGTAACCATGAACGGATCAAGTTGATCGCCGTATCGATCGGTTCCGTCCGCTGTTGCACCTCGGCGCGCATCGCAAAGCGTATATCTAGAGCACGTTAGCCCCCCTTTCCTTGTTGACACTCAAAGCCCTATCGCAAACCTACAATTCGGCTTCTCCCTCACCGGCACATCCCCCAGCCCCACCGCCATTGCATCCTCCACCTTGACCCTCACCACCTCATCCAGATACTGCCGGGCCGCATGAAATTCGGGCTCCGGACTCCTCTCCTTCTCAGGCGACAGGCTCCCGGGCAGCCTCGTCCGCGCCGCCTGCGCCAGGACGCGCTCGTCCGCGCTCTCGTACTCGGGGCTCGACCCGCGCGACGACCCCGCCAGCAGCATCAAGGCCTCAAAGTCGGCCGCGGCCGCGGCAAACCCGCCCAGGCCGCCGCGCGCGTCACTCTTGCGCCAGAAGCCGCTGCTGTGGTCGCCGTTTTCGAGGCGTCTCCAGGCCGGAGGACTGTAGCCACCGGCCGAAGCCTCCGAGTCCGAGACGTCCTCCTCCTCCTCCTCCCCCCCGGTCTCGATCTCGCTGTCGCTCCGGTATTCCGAGTGCGGTGACGGGTAGCTGTGCGGGATGTTGTTGTTGGTGTTCTCGTGGTGAGGAGGGGGACTGCCGTGGGGACTCAGCGGGGGAACCTCGAAGTCCTCCAGAGACGCGTCGAGCTGGTCGAGCGACGACGGCGGACGATGATGGCGCCCGAGGTGGGTCGCTGTCGCTGCCGCTGAGGCCATGGCGGCTGCTGTTCTTGGTGCTGCTGCTGCTGCTGCCTCCGAGGAGACTGCGGGATTGCCTGCGGCTGCTGGAT